TTTAAAAAAGAGAGTTCATGGTGTGTTTTTGGTTCGTGCTTTGTGAGGTCGAGGTCCGAGTTCTAACTTGATCCGTGGATGTTTAAGTGCACAATATCCAAATATGGTAATGGTATGAGAGTTTTAATTTAACTAGAAGAGATAATATATGTATACGATTGAAAAAAAAATGATTTCTTGAGTTTGTAAATTTTGTATTATTATTTGTCTCATTTGGACATATTTAACCACTGAAGCATGAGTGCATAACTATTCTCAACTTCTAATATCACGATATAAGATCATCTAGATCAACTTGACTTCGACCACCTGATAATAAAAACATAACCAAACAAAAAGATGAGACTTAACTTCTCTGTGTTGACCTGAATGCTACATAATCTAATGATTTGAAATTAATAAACTCTGATTTACAACGTACAAGCGATCATGATCATACACACAAAAGAAGTAAAAAAGAAGGAAAAAGATAAGATCAGTTGTGTACCGCGAGAGTTATGGTCTGGAGCATTAGGAGCCTTGATATAACAAAGAAACAAAATTCATTTTAATTACAAAATCCAATAATTCGATATCAATCGAACAAGTTAACTACATCATAAATTGTAAAAATTTACCAAAGAATCGGTAGAAGCTGGAATGAGATTATGACAAGTTTTATCACATGGATATGGACAATCAATTTCTTTAGCTTCTTTTTCTCTCCCGAAATACCAATCTCCAACCGTCTCAGCAATTGTCTGAAACCAAACACCAAATCCGGTTTAAAACTATCGTAAACCGGATAATTTAAAACGACAAGAGAATGAAGTTCCGTTTACTAATACCTTATTATGGATTCTAGGTGAAGTGGGAGAGAACCAAGTCTCTTGTAAAGCACTTTGACAATGATCAAAACATGAGTTTATAAACATTCCTCCTCTCGTTGAATTTCTGAAGAAATTCATTAATGTTCCCAACATATCATTTCTAAACCCTGCAAAAAAAAAAAAAATCGGTTCAGTTCTGGTTTTTGTTTACCGGTTCCTTAATTTAAACCAAACCAATTGGATTTTTTATATTTTTGTACCTTGAAGTGCATCGAGCTGGTGTGGATTACATGCAGTTACATTACGCTTACAACGGTTCCAACGTCCGGTACGGTCAGCAGAAGGTGGAACCAGCCCATGATGGAACTGTGTGACAAACCGGCTTAGACAAGTCTAATACTAATCTCCGGTTTAAACAAATTAAACCGGTATGATTTAACTAAAGAGAATATAGAAAGAGAGAAAACCTGGAATACATCATAGGCTGAATTTAAGATGAAAAATGGCGTTTTAATGAATCGCAATACGTATTGCGGGAAAAAACACTGCAAAATTCAATATAATTTCAAAATGATTAGAGAGTTGAAACTAATTTCGTTAGAAAAGATTTAGATTTGAGTGTGTACCAAAGATGGCTCGGGATAAAATGCTCGTGTACAGTTTGGATCGAGGTTTTTTTGTATACCCTGAAAAGTTTGATCCGGAAATGTAAGAAAATCAGAAAAGTGTGGGTAATATTTGAGAATCCTACAACCTGATGGATCTCTCAAGTAAAAACCTGTAGAGACACAAGCTGTGTGTAAAGTGATCTCATTGTCCGGTTTGATGCTACATCGATTCTGTTAAACCAATATAAACCATATAAGTTGTTATTAAACCGATCTGGTTCTCATATAAACTAAATACCAAAACATATTTGATCAAGAAAACTTACGCGTCAAGAAAGAATCCAGCGTCGCTCATGCACTTAACGTTTGCGGTTTTTGGCAAATAGCTCGTGAAATTGTCACAATGCAAAAATGTAGACAAACCACCAGCTGAACAACCGGTCAGAAGAGCCTGCGTACCGGTCGATCGGTTTAGTATCAACACATTAATAACATAGAGTCAACGAAAGCAAATCAAACTAAAATATGGAAATCGCGGTTTTATAATCGATTGACGATTTATTAGGAACACATTAATTTGGTTAATGAAACTAAACCGAAATACCGAACCAAACAGAAAGAAATTTTACCTTACGGGCTTTTGCTAAACCTTTAGGTAGAAGGTCAAGAATAATGGCATTCCATATTCGTTGTCCTCTGAAATAAAGCAACGACGTCTGTCATTCATTCAATCAGTAAAAATTAGTTAAGAAAACCATAAATTAGATAATTTGGTACGTTTAATGGTAAAAAAAAATTGGTTTAGAGCAAGAAACGAGTAGTGTGATTTATACCCCGTTGCCAAATTGTGTATCTCCTGCAAACGAAGCTCCATCGCAATACCTCAGTCTCACTCTGTTCCAGTTGTAAAAATCTGATTACCAAAAAAAAAATACTTTAAACTTTATATTAAAATGAAAATACAGTAAGCTACAATGTGTGTTGTGTGAATACTTAATATTTGGATTTAGTAACACTGGATTTTGACGCAAGACAGACTCAAACCTGGACTTCACATGCATGTCCGGATGTTAATTGACGGCTTTACCCTTATCGACATAGGTATCTAACAGATGAACGTAGGATAGATATGTAATTTGACGACATGTGTCGAGGTAGATCGATAGTGTGTGTGTTCGTTAGGAAGGGGACAAAGACAAAAGTAAATAAGGAGAACAAACAAGCCAGA